AAGTTTTGCTTGTACAAAATTTCAAACCATTTCGAAGGATATAGGGTTTTCAATAAATCAAATTTAATTGGCAAAAGATTGCCTGATTAATTTGAGAAGTATACTTTATATTGTTTTAAATTATTTTTTAATCCTAACAGATAATAACACTGAATTTTTGGATGTTTTTTCAAAAGCACAAGATTTTATGAAGGAGACAAATCTAATTTTATCATTGAAATTTTTTTTAGTTAAACAACTTAATGGCCTGGTATGGGTCTAATATTATATTTTCTAGCGGGCCTGGGCCGGGCCTAGATTTAAAAAAAATTTTCTTAATGGGCTTGGGCTGGGTTTTGGTTTAAAATGATTAAATTTAAATTAGTTGCTAATAATTTAAAGAAATACCTTTTTTTCTTATAATAATAAATTTCAGTATTATAAACAAAATAATTGCCTAAATATATTTAAATATTGTTTATTTTCATTAAATAAAAAAATTAAACTTTTGGATATGGGCTTGGGCCGGATTTGGGAAATTTTTTTGAAACTTATCATGGGCTTGGACCGGGCTTAGGATTTTTTTTTAACATTAGATATAGGCCGGACCGGGCTTGGGCCTAAAAAAAAATTTTTCTACGAGGTTGGGCTAGGCTTGGTCAAAAAATAAAGGCCCATGAAGGTCTCTGCAATAAATAATAATATAATTATAAATTCTTTCGCTTTCTCTTTTCCCAATTTATTTAAATTATTAATTTAAAAATAATATTCCACATACTTCCACTCCTAAACGGCGAGAAGGCCGCGCACCAACACCACCCGTCATTTCCACCACCCGTGTCGCACCGATAGTCCCTCTCACCCCAGCTGAAAAATACACCAAACTCCGCAAAGTATATATTAAAGATTGTTGCAATAAGAATTATTTTTAAAATTTATGGGTGTAAAAAATAATTGACCATTTTTTTAGAAGGTGAGGGAGGGGGACTTTTCAGGGGGGTATTCTGCTTCCATCCCTCAGAAAGTGTTAGGGCCACTGACCGTTTCATTCTATCAGATAAAAATTTTGAAAAACAATTGTTCATTAAAAATTAAAAGAAAAATTTTTTATAAATAAAAATATCTTTTATTAGCCATATTTATTGCATTTATAATTATATAAAATAAAACTATATTATTTTTTAACATGGCTAATATAAATGTTAAAAATATGACATATTAAGTTTATTTTAAAAAAATTTCTAAAATTTTGAACGAACGTGAACGCATTCCTCTTTCTTAAAGGTGAAAGCGAACGCGTTCGATTTTTTTAGAAATGTTTATAGCACTAGCAATTACTAATACCTAAATAAGTAATCTGTTAATTTATCAAAACTCGAAATATAATGCGCAAAAATGCTGTTATAAATTATTAATATTAAATGTATATAGCCTCAAGGCTGAAGATATTCGACTAAAAATTCGGTTCTGCCATATTTGGAATTGACTAATAAAAATGGAGCTATTATTCTTATAAATAACTATAAAATAAATTTACTGAAAAAAATTTGTAAAAATATGAAATTTTTAAACATTTAAAAATATATAAATTTAGATGAATTACTTATTTTCTAATATATAAATTATATTTAAAAATTTAAATGTAAATTAATGCTCAAAAATATTCTAAAATACTGCATATAAACATCCAAAGTATTTACAAAGAAATACATGCAATCTCCTCTGTATAGTTGGGCAATATTTAAATGTCGGCTAATTCGGTTCAATCTTCAGGCGCCTGCCGTAGAAAGGTAGTTTAATATATTAGTTTCTTCCAAATTTAAGCTGTTATCTTTTTAAGAAAACCCCCAAGGTTAAAGTGATAGTTTTCGGCTAGAAACTTAGTCGATTTTTTAGCTGGGCTAAAAATATGGTAATTACAATTATACTCCTATGTGATTGTGCTAATTTTTTAAAATGATTTCATCGGTATTTGGTAGGGTTGTTAAAACCTCGTATTGAAAGATTTAAAAAAAAAACGTTATCAGGATTATATTTCATCAAAATACGGCAGAATGGTTAGACCACTAACGAAATCTTGAGGCATAGATGATTGGTTAGTCACCACAGCAAAAGCTTGGAAAAGATTTGGCTCTCTTTTAGTAAAATCTCGAGGATTAAGTAATATTTTTTACTAAATGATTTTAGCATTTTAAATAGGGTAAATTAAGGGTTATAACAACATAAAAAATGGAGATGGGTCAAGGAGAATTATTTTATAATATTCTTCTATTGCTTTTGCAATATATGAAAGATGGGCATGAGTCCAAGTCAAGGTATGAGAATATCTAATTTATATCTATCTTTAGATAATTTGACATAATTTAAAGCTCTAATACAACGTTATACGATTTTCAGATGCCAACTTCATTAATATCTATTTTTTAAAAGAGCATAAAATACTAGTAGAATTAAATAATTATTTGATATATTTTAATGCAATGAAAAAAGTGTTCTAATATCGAGTTTCATCTGAATGAAGTCTTTTCCAGGTCATTGTGCCATTTCACTAATTAAGCTTCCCTAATTTCATAAAATACGTAATTGCTTAATAGTGAAAACTTTTTTGAAAATATTTTAATCATCTGCATTTTTTGGCGGAAGGGGTTATTTTTCGCCTTGACCCACCTGAATCGCTTTAATGATATTTGACATAACAAAAGAATAGCGCCAATTTCAACGTTATCTTTTAAATTAATTATTTGTGATTATACTCAGTATCAAAATCATGCAATTTGAAGGTACTAGCATAAAGTAGAAAATAAAATAAAAATTCTTTCCCTTAAAAATTGGAATATATGATCGCATGATATTTTTTTTATCTTTAGATTATTAGAATAATGTTTTCAGTTAAAAATAATATGTGCAATAAAAAAATAATATTTAGGTAATGAATAGGGCTGTGCCGATCCAAATTTTTCACCGATCCGATATTACCAAAAAACAGATCCGATATTTATATTGATCTTTATTTACCATCGATCTTTGTTTTAATGTCATAAATATATAAACATTATTTACTTTAAAAAAAATCAACTAACTTTCACGAATGATTAATGTATTTTATTTGATTTATTTCTCATAAGTTAATATTCTCATTTAAAATATTTGCAATGTTTATGGTTGAATATAGTGTTGTTAAACAGTTCCATTTATCCGATTTTTAAAAAGGGCCAAATCCAAATTTTAATCAAAATATTATTACCTATGCCTCGAAATTTAGTCATTTGAAGTCTAAACCTTTCTGATATCTATGGGGAAAATCAATAAGCATGGGTAATTTTTATTCAAAATATAGAGTTAATCATTATAAAATTGACTAAATCGAGTCGTTTATCAACACTAACTGAATGTGACTTGTTAGATATTTTAAAATCCTTTTCTTTTTGCAGATAATATAACAAAAAATAGTTCATTTTAAACTATTTTTTTAACATTAAAACAAATAAATTGTATATTAGTTTCTTTAATTAATTTATTATTATGAAATTATTTATAAAATAAAAAAAATTATATGATTATATATTCAATTATAAAATAACCAAAAACATAAAAAAAATATCGGTGCCGATCCGAAATTAAATATAGGCACAGCCCATGTGAATTAATTTTTAATATTAAAAAAACGAAGTCCAAATCAATTTCTTTATTTATTATTCGATTCATAATCGTTTTTGATAGGACTGTGCTGATATTTAATATCGGATCGGAACTGATATTAATTTAAAAAATATTGGATCAGGTCGATATTATTTAAAAAACTTATATTTTTATAGTTTTTAGTTATTCATTATAATTTCTATAAAATTAATGATGAAACTAAGATACAATTTATTTGTTTGTAATGTTTTAAAAAATAGTTAAAAATTTTATATAATTTTTTATTATATTATCTGCAACAAAATTAAAATATCTAATGACTCACATCCAGCTAGTGTATCTAAATGAATTGATTTAGCTAATTTATAAAAACAATCAACTCAAAATTTGGTCAGGAGCAATTACCCAAGCTTATTTATTTTGACCACAGATGGCAGAAAGGTTTGGACTTCTATTGGCAAAATTTTGAGCTTAGGTAATAATATTTTTGCTAAAATCTTGATTAAGCCTTTTTAAAAATTGTCATCTATAAATAGGGGTGTACCGATACTACTTTTTGGAGGCTGATCCGATATTAAATTGATATCGGTCGATTACCGATATCATTTGTAATTTTGTATTAGGTAAAGATACCAATGGTTTTAATTTTAATATACTTTTTATTAGTATAACATCTATAATTTATACCATAACTTATGTCATTTAAATAAATGATCAGTTATAGTTTATATTCAATTCAATTGCAATTTTAAAAGTATATAAAATATTTTTATTGTTAAATCACTTTTATATAATAAATAATAACATTAATCTATATACATAATAAGTAATAAACAAATATATTATGAAATTTGAAATAAATATTTAACATTAATATTTCAAAAATTTCTTTTTAAAAATACCAAAATTTCCAATTTATAGAGGTCAGCTTGCGGCAATAGTAACTGTCAATATCACCAGTTTCAATAAAAACAGATTCTAAAGAGATTATCGCACACTTTTATAACAGAATGCGCAAAATAAAACAATATGGCAGAATGTTTATTAATTAATTATTAAAAAAAAATATACATAAAAATGGGATTTTATTTAAAAATAAATTTTTAGATATAACTTTTTTTTAAAATTTTATTTAAGACACCTTTATATCAGATTGGATTGGAAATTTTATATTGGCCGATAACCGGTATTTTAAAATGGGTGAATGAAAAATATCAGTATAACCCTACCTATAATCATTGCAAATAGTTTTAATGCGATTATTAACTTCTGGATATTGGTATATCTCTACAAAAAAAAGACACATCTAAAGGAATACATAAATTTGAGAGAATTTAGGATAAAAAAATTGTTGATTTTATTGTAATATTTTATTTCAAAATTATGATACAATAGATAAATTAAAAAACTTGTCTTACATTCATATTTATTCTAATATTATCATAAGGTAAATGGTTCTTTTCTTCTTTATTACTATTGCTCTCCTCTAAAATCTTTGGAACAGCATGTAGAGCTAATCTTGATTCATCACTCATAATCAATACATCCCCATTTCTAATCAATAATGGTATGATCGAATCATGCTCATAATCAATAACATTGGATATGGATGATTGGATCATAAATATAGCACTCAATCCAAAACTTATAGAAATTAGAGGTGCTTTTAAATTATATTCAGAATGGTCTATATGTCCTCTAATAAATGAATTTCTACTGTAATAATTGATAATTGCAGCTTCAGCTTCAAAATCTTCATAACCAATACATTCACATATTATTTTACATAATGATTTAATCTCAACAGGCATAACAGATTTATCATCATGAGAATATATCTAATATTATTTAAATATATAATAGTTATTTAAGGTTTAACCTTTGTATCCCAATTATGATGATAACCTAATGTTACCCATCTTAATTTAGAAAATTTATGTTTTTGATCTAAGATTTGAACATTTGATTTATGTGATTTGGGGTAGCAATTTAAGCAACTAAATATTAATATATTAAATATCTTTTAGTGTTTAGCTAACATGCCTATTCATCCAATATTCTTGACCAATATTGGTAAATATATTTTTAATAAAAAATAATCCAGGTATTGAATTAAATTTGTGTATTTTCCAAAAATTATATGGATTTAATCCAATTTCATCTGGAATAGAAATTTCGCTATTCAACTTTAATAATATTATACTTTGATCATCACTATGGTAATTGTTCAGATCTATAATTTTATCTTCATAATTTTTATAATTATCCCTAATTTTTTTGTAAAAATGATTAAATTCATCATTCATGAGAAAGGAATCCGAATATATTAGAATTATAAGTGACAACGTACAAAACAAATTTAAGAAATAGCCCTTGACAACTATAATAAATATCTTGGATTAATCGAAACTGATCTACGCTACCTATCACATTTGACAAAATTATACAATATATATGGTGAATTCCATATCAAATCAACCAAGGTTTCAACCCGACCCCTTTCAATTTTTTTTAAATTTTGCATACTGGTGGTATATACTATAACTAAGAAAAAAATGAAATTTTACCTCCCAAAAAGGCTTACCCGCTAAGATATGGGCGTTTAAAGCGCGGAAAAATGGTACATTTTTGACAAAAAGTGCCTCATTTATTTTCAAATATCTCGAGAAATAATTAAGTTAGAAAAATAATTTAAATTTTATTATGTAGCTTAATAATAGTTCTTTAATATGACATAAAAATAAATATGATATAAATTTGATGAATGTCCAAAACCGGATGTATAAAACCGGAAATGGCCATAGAAAAAAAAAGGTATTTCTTTTTTTCGAAATTTTTTTTCCGTAGATAGATATAACACTGCTTTATATTTGTGCCAAATCCTAGCCTGGGATGAAAAAGGGTCTAGGAGTTATGACTCTTTATATGGCTTAAATTGATCAAAAATATCTTCATTTAATGAATACTTATGAAATAATGTTTTTTTTTAATTATGTCTAAATGATAGGCCCTAACTTTTTTTTATTTTTAATTGTTAACATATTGTGAGTGAATAGATTTGCATTCTTACGACCCAAAAACTGTGTTTTAGCAGGTGGTCCAGGTACACATACCATGTGTATCTGCACACTACACCAAAATTTTAAGCTTATTTTAATAGGGGGAAAATTAAAACAGCTTACAAACAATAATGATCATTATAATTATCCTCCAATAAACGATTATAAACATTGTATTGCACAAAGTCTTTGCAATCCTGCCCAGCCTGGATGTTACTTCAATAAATGTAAATTTTGTCCTGGATCAGCCCAAATAAAAGAAAGACTTATTATATTATTTGATACGAATTCAATAGATTATATATCATTTAAACAATGGTTGGTAGTTGATAGAACTACGCTCAAAACGTTGACAAAATCAGCTTATGAATTCCTAGATTATTTAATTGAGAAATTAGACAATTTGATTCCACATTCATTTATAGCATCACAACAATCATTATTTCAAAACAATTTAAAATCTAATTTAAATGTTGGCGAATACTTAGTTATTGCTGACTTTTCGGAAAATTATGCATTTATAGTGCAAGACCATGCACAGGGATTTCATTGGACAAATAATCAGTCCACTATTCACCCTTTTATCATTTATTATCGTCAGGACAACACTATAAAACATATAAGTTTAGTGGTGATATCAGATTGCTTAAAGCATAATGCCTGTGCCTTTTATTTATTTCAAACTAAAATGATCTTATTTTTAAAAGAAAGATTTGATACATTGACCAAAATTTATTATTTTTCTGATTGGGGCCGTAATCCAATATAAAAATAAAAAAAATTTCATAAATCTCTATAATCATGAATGTGATTTTTGTATAAAGGCCGAGTGGCATTTTTTTGCTACAGCTCATGGAATAAGTCCGTGCGACAGTTTAGGAGGTATTACAAAACGGCTAGCAGCTCGAGCTAGTTTGCAACTGCCATATCAAAACCATATTTTGACACCAATGGATTTATTCGACTTTGCAACAAATAATATACATGGAGTAAATTACATTTTTGTAAGCAATAATGAATACAATAATATGGAAAATCATCTAGAAAGCAGATTTTTGAGAGCAAAAAGAATTCCGGGAACACAAAAATACCATGCTTATATTCCCCTTGATCAAAATAAAATTAAAGTTAAAATTTATACCAATTCTTTAGATAATTTAATATATGATATATTGTAAACATAATTATGAATTATTATATTATATGTAATTATGCATTTCAGAAAAATAAAGTTATAAATTGGTTTAGAATTATTTTGTCAAGTAATTTTCAGTCACAACATGTTAACAATTAAAAATAAAAAAAAGTTAGGGCCTATCATTTAGACATAATTTAAAAAAAAACATTATTTCATAAGTATTCATTAAATGAAGATATTTTTGATCAATTTAAGCCATATAAAGAGTCGTAACTCCTAGACCCTTTTTCATCCCAGGCTAGGATTTGGCACAAATATAAAGCAGTGTTATATCTATCTACGGAAAAAAAATTTCGAAAAAAAGAAATACCTTTTTTTTTCTATGGCCATTTCCGGTTTTATACATCCGGTTTTGGACATTCATCAAATTTATTTCATATTTATTTTTATGTCATATTAAAGAACTATTATTAAGCTACATAATAAAATTTAAATTATTTTTCTAACTTAATTATTTCTCGAGATATTTTAAAATAAATGAGGCACATTTTGTCAAAAATGTACTATTTTTCCGCGCTTTAAACGCCCATATCTTAGCGAGTAAACCTTGTTGGGAGGTAAAATTTCATTTTTTTCTTAGTTATAGTTTATACTACCATTATGCAAAATTTAAGAAAAATTGAAGAGGGTCGGGTTGAGAATCGACTTTTTTTGGTTGATTTGATATGGAATTCACCATATGTATATTACAATGAATAAATATTTCAAATTTAGAATTATCAGACAGGTGTCAAAGTCTATCCTGTTAAATTCAGCTGTTTAAAATAATTTGTCACTTGCAAATTCGGAATCACGTTATAAAATGAAAGAAAAAAAGATAGAAGAAAAATCTGAAAATTTATTTAAAAAACATTCACATTTAAAATCAAATAAACCTAAGAATGATTATTCATTTAAAAAGTCTGAAAAAATATCGAAGAACCATCGCAAATCTGGAAATCCTACAGAAACAAAATCGAATCCTAAAAATGATAAAGAATCATATAAAACAAAAGTTAAATCCAAAAATTGGTCCATGTCACCACAAATGAGCCATTTAGAAGATACTGATACGGACAATAAGGGTTTGAAAAAATATAAACATGAAGGCTTATCACTTACTAGAAATAAAGAATCTAATAGAGAAAGTTGGGGTAGGCATGGTTATGAAAATCAGAATGAAAATGCTACCAGAGTTGATATTGAAAAATCAGAAGATAATAAAGATATTGATAAACCAAAAGAAGAGCCTAATTTTGGATTATCAGGTAAACTAGTTGAAGAAACTAACAAATACAAAGGAGTAATTATCAAATACAATGAACCACCTGAAGCAAGGTTAACTTATAAATATTATTCGCATTAAATTTTATTTTGAATTTTAACTATAATTAAATATAATTTTGTTGATAGAATATCTAAAATAAAATGGCGCCTATATCCCTTCAAATCAGGTGAAGCTCTTTCTCCTATATTATATCTCCATAGACAAAGTGCTTATCTATTTGGTAGAGATAGAAAGATATGTGAAATTCCTGTAGATCACCCCTCATGTTCTAAACAACATGCTGTCCTTCAATTTAGAGCCATATACCCCAAAGAAACTGATATTGTTCCATCAGATTTATTAGAGGATCAGGATTTAGAAGATGGTATAATTATAATAAATTTATATTATTGAAATCCTACCTATTATTTTTATCAAAGATTCCAAATTAATATTTTGGTCAAATAGTTCAAAATGAACCAGATACACAATAGAGAATAGCTCTCCAACCTGGGCAGATTTTTAAAAAGATTTTATTTCAGTTCAGCCTAGCCCATCTATTCATTACATATATCTCAACCCTATTTTTTTTTTACTAAATCTGTAATTAGTATTCAAGGTTTAAAAAAATTCTGAGCTGGCCCAAATGATATTTTGCTTTAACTATCCTGTCTTACCATGAATATCCTTTTATTTAAGTTGCCTGGCCCAATTTTGGGCTGTTTAGGGTTTTGCTAAAAAGATGTTTTAATAAAATTAAAATTGTCATATCTAATGTTTATTGTGTTAAACTGAAAAACTGGTTTAGGCACAATCTGATTTATACCTAAAACAAATTATTCATACAAATTCAAAATTATTTGTCAAATTTTAAATCATACAAATAAGGATAAATTATTATCTTTCAAATAATTTTTTTTTCTTATTCGATCAAATTATTCAAAATAATTTATAATTATTCAAAATAATTTATAATTATTCAAAATAATTTATAAATATTTCATTTCTTTGCAGAACTTAGTATTTTTTCCACATATAAAACACTTAGGTTACACAAACCTTTGTATATAAAAAAAGATTTGCCAAACTCAAAAGGGGTAGGCGGCCACTTTATGATATATTTGAAATGGAATGGCACTGATAAATTTGAAATTGAATGACCCTTATCAATAGGAACGATTAACAGCAACTTCACTTTTTCTTATTAGCTTAAATTTTATTTTATAAATTTATAGCATAGTGTTAACAATAAATTTTTATTTATGAAGGTTATCACTTTTGAGTATCTGTCACTGGTAGTGTTGTTAAACTGCTCGTTTTTTTAAAAACGGCTAACTCAACATTATAGCCAGGAAAATATTGCCTAAGCTTTAAGATTTCGATAATATATGTCTAGACCTTTGTTCTTTCTATGAGCAAAATCTAGAGGCTTGCATAATATTTTTCCTAATAAAATATTGAATTAGACGTTTTTAAAAATCGGCTCAAAATAAGCCGATTAACAACACTAGTCACTGGTATCAGTTTAAAATTAAAGTATTGGCCCAATAACAAGTAGATATTGGTGTATCTTTTTTCATAAATGAAATTATTTAACATTGAGGATAATAATTTTTATATTTTACAGGTAAAAAAAGGCGAATCCAGGTCAAACCCTACATAATCGATCTAGGCTCTGCTAACGGTACTTTCCTGAACAATAAACCCATTGAGGCCAGTCGATATTACGAGTTGATGGAAGGCGACGTCCTCAAGTTTGGGTTTAGTACTAGAGAGTACGTTTTACTACATGAGACCTCTTCTGCCGTTGGTGATGAAGATTCAATAAAATCCCCCCATGAACATGATGGACAAGAAGAAAATCCAATTGATCAAATGCATGAGTGAGGGTCTTTATAATAAACACCTTATTTATTTTAAATATGGTTCAGATATAACTATCTTGTTTTGGGACATCATTTTATTTATTATTTTAATGTAATTTAATGATATTATACATTATTTCATGTCTAAATAACAATCAAAATAAAGAAAGAAATTTATTGTACATTACATGTAAAATTTTGTATTTATATTTTATATAATGCATACGAAAATGAATGATAAATTATTAGACGCTAATAAAAATTTTATTTATTTAAAAATTCAATTGGGACAGAATGTGTGATAAATTATATTTTATATTTGATAATATTGATTCAAAATTGTCTAAATGTTGTACGGCTTCTAGAGGATATGCTATATCAATAATTTCCATACACTATATATATAATATTAATAAATTTAATTATTATAAAGCAAACTTGATTTGCATAATTTTTGGCGTTGCTTAAGTCATTCAAATACAAAGCCAATTTGGATAACCATAATAAATGATAAGCTCTTGAAATATCGTATTTTGGGTAATATTTTCTATTGTAATATAATCAGGATGTTAAAAAAAATATCTAAAACAAAATAAGGATGCACATACACAAATTAATAATAAATATCAAAGACCTGCAGATGTTATATTGACTGGGTCAGATTTAAACCTAAATAATTTTGTAAATAGTTCCAAAATGAATATTAATAATCGAATGTAGTAGGATTTTTTAACTTAGTTAATCGATAAAATTTATAAAATCCTTTAAAAAAATTTGGCACGTTGGAGTTTTTAATTTATTTTTAAGCCCGGATTTTTATTTAGATCATACTTTTGGCTAGACTTGCAGGTTTCTGATATGTTAATTTAAGTTATAATATAAAACTCCTATTTAATTAATTGGAAATTCCAAATTATATACGATATTATATAATATAATCGACGATTAATGTATTAACCATTATGAATATTCAAAAGATTCATTTTATTTAAAAGAGGTGTTAATCAAATATTTAAATTTTTCTGTATTAGTGATACATTTATTTTCTACTCATTTAAATTATGACTTTGTTTTCGAATTTCAATAAAATCGTTGAATTGTACAATTCATTTTTTGAAATTTTAACCAGGTGATATCTATGCTGGGTACATGAGGGTATATGCCCTCCCCTCTGAAAATGTATATTCTTTTCATTTTTATATGGGGATTTTAAAGTTCTTTTGAGCGTTTATAAAAACATATGAATTGGACCTAAAGGCCCGGTTTTAAGCATGGGCCGGGCCGGGCCGTATTTATACCCTGACCGCTAAAAAAAATTTTAAATGCGGGTCGGGGCTAAATTTTTTTATAAAAAAAAATATCCGGGTTGGGACTTATATTTTAAAATCGCCATTAGTTAAAAATAAATTTAATGTATTTTTTTAAAAAAATGCGGGCCATGCCGGGCCTAAAAATATAAAATCTGAGCCGGGCAGAAATTTTTTTTTAAAAAAAAAAATCCGGGCTGTGCTGTGCAAATGTCATTTCTGTAGGTCTCTGATATTAATAAATAATAAAATAGTTTTTGGTTTTTTTTAAATATCAACGCAAAATAAAGTTCTTCAATTTGCACAATGCGATTAGTGATAAATTATTTGAAATATAACGCAAAATTCAAACGCCTTTGTAATGTATCGTATATCGATTACTTTATTAATGTAATCGAATTTCTTATTTTAGATATCAATTTAATTGTTATTTATTTTAATATATAAAGTGATACGATTAAAATATTTATTCATGCTTTATAATATCAATTCATATATTTAAATAAAATCATTTTATTTCTATAAATTCTTAAGACTATCTAAATCTTTGAACTGGAGGCGAGAATGGGACATATATTAATTCGGCGAGTATAATAAATAATGAAATTATTTCGCTAGATTTGAGTTACCTCTCAACATTGTTTCAGATAACGGTGCTCAGTTTAGCGGATCAGAACTAAAATGTTTCTTTTTAAAAACATAAACCTTTTAGGTCCGCCCCAGTCCCAAATAGAATGGGTTGGCTAACTACATTCGTATGATAAAGACGCGTTTCTATGCAAAGAGGAGATGTGGGACTCCAGACCAGCTTAATCTAGCAAATGTTTTGATTATTCATGGCAAAACGCCAAATGCAAAAACCGGTAAATCCCTCGAAATGTTTATAGGCCGCCCAGAACGATGTTCGATTAGTGGAAAATCCATGAGAAACCGAAAACCCATTATGGAAAATAAAAATATTATAAAGGCAGGATAGTTGAGTCTCAGGAAATAGAAAATAATCAAAAGGTTTGGATAAAAAACGAAACTGCGGGATAGAATGAAGGGACAGAGCGTGTGTGCTTGATATTGAGCGATGGCATAGTAAAAAACAAGCATACCGATTAACTGGGGAAGGCTCACCTACAAGCAAAGGAGATAACAATGACGGTAGTAGATAGCGTTAAAGATAAAAGACGAACCTTAACAAAAAGAGTTTCGAAACTCCCATTACCTTCCCATGAGGATTTCAATTTGTAGTGAGGAAATTAATGTATCGTAACTGTTACATTAGATATTGATTTAATTGTTTGTTATTTTTAATATATATATATATGATTCGATTAATATAATATTAATTTAATTTTTATATTATCAATTTGTATATTTTAATAAAAACATCATCTTTTTCCATAAATTCTTTAGACTATCTAAACCATTCGCCTTCATTTAGAAGCACTATTATTTGTTTTTGTTATTTATTTTTTTCATTTCTTCACATTCATTCACATGGTATTATATCTACACCTGCGTTTTATTTCCCATCCAATATACATATCTTCACATAATAGTCCTTAGCCACCGATTTAAATACCGTCTCAGACCTTTTTATATTACTCAAGCCTTTCACGTAATTCTCTGCTTGTTCTTATCTATCTAACCATTCTCATTTGTGTTCTTTCCAATTTGGCTTCATATGTAACCATTATTGATGTGTATTTTAGAGTACATTATATAACTTTTACTATATACTTAAACTATTCCCTTCAAATCCAAGGAGTCATTTTTATCAGCTAGAATAGATTATAACCCTAAACTTCATGCATGCTGGCCCTTGTCACAATCTTCAAGCCAAGATTCTCATCTGCTCTCAGCGCAAGACCTAGGTAACAAAACCCAATTTGTTCAAAGTAACTTCTTTAGATGTTCTAACTCTTCCATCAGCCTGCATGCCTTTCACGTGTCCCAAAAACAAATATAATTTATATCTTTTCCACTTTCTGAATACACAGCAATTACATTGGATGTAATCACTAAAATATCTCGGGAGTTTTTTGCGCAACTAGTCACCACATCCATTTGAATAAGATAAATAAATTTCTTGATGTAGTCCCACACCGATAACTTTTACTACTTCGATCAGCTGTTCGGACCTTCTTGTTGCAAACAATATTTATTCTAATAAAATTTAGTTTCATTTTTTAACAAATTAAACTATTAGATGTAAATTTTTGAACAAGGATATTAAATTATTAGTGCAAAAACGAATGCTAAATTATATAAATATCTATGAAAATTTCTAATATGAAATAAATTACCGAAAAGTGTTTCCTCTATTTAAAGCAATACCAATCTGATAGGTCAACACTAGATGTGTGTCAGCAACTGTTGTCAGATCATTGGGGTTATTAATAAATGGCATATGTGTATGTTGAAATTTTTCCCACAATATTTTGTTATAAATAACATTATTCGAAGATGGGAAAAAATCATTAAAATTTTTTAAGGAAATGCTGGACTGTTGATATTCTTGAAATTTTGAACATAATTCATCGATAAATTTATTGGTTATGCTAGATTGTCTAGTGTTAATGTTTAGGGTATCATTTTCTTAATAAAACGTGTAATAAATATTTTTTAATACTATAAATATGATATATAACTATTTATATAATAAGTCATTTAAAGGTTATCCCGATCGGTCTGTCAATACTCTCAATTTAACCAAACCAGTGGTTAATACCCAAAATTGATTTAAAAAATATTAAACATGCGTTAAGCGATGAAATAAACATTTTAAAAAAAAGTTTTTAATCTACAATCTAAGTTATGTTAAATTTTTTCCCCATTTATTTTTACTTTAACAAATTTTATAATAAATAAATTTATTGTGGTTAAATAAAAACTACATATAGGATATAACTCCACCCGATCGTTGGGTGTAACAATCAATAAACTATGGGTCCAACCCGTGGGTCAAAAAAATTAATGTTAAACTTCCTTTTTTTTGATTGAATATCACAATTATAAATTGAATTTTTTTTAAAAAAATGGAAGTGGAAATAATTCATCAAATTTATTTTCATATCATATTTTGTAACAAAATAGATAAACACAATTAAATTATCAAAGCTTTTTTTTGAATATTTACATTTTCATAGTATTAAAACGTATAATAAAATTAATATTTTGAGTTTGAAATATATCTTCTAATTTTATTTATAAAAATCGGCTCTATCTATAAAGCAAATTGTTACAGGGCTTTGGGCGGGCCCTTTGGCATTGATCGGCAAAAAGTCATATAGGCGCAATTGTCATATAATTTTATAATAGCTTATTAATTTATTTTTTTTAAATTAAGTATTAAAAAACCTAGGGTAGACTTAGGCAAAAAGTCTAGCACGTTTTCCTCATGGTTATGATGATCGTCATGTATATGACAAAACTGACAAGCACAATGAAAATAATATGTTTCCATCAAAGACTTTCGCCGGTTTTGATAAGATTCTAGAGGATCAATGTATCTTATAAATATCTAAAATTTAAATTAATTAATAATAAAGAAAAAAAAATTGAGACCGAATTTTGTAATGAAGAACTATTTTGCTTTAATGTTATATCCTCAACTGATGTTATAAATATGTTGGGACCGTTGAAAATACAATTAGTGTTAGGTACACAACTATGGTTAAAATAGGATGCACTATAAGAAGTTATATTTAGTGAGTTTAATATATTATTTTTATAAACAATAATAAAATACCACATATATAAAGCATGAGCAACTGGGCATAATTCTTCGTCCAAAATCGAATATGAATTTATTAAAATCTATGTATAAAGAAATGATTTATAAATAAAACTTATAAATATAAATATTGAACTTAACTTTGCAAAAAATATCTTTAAATATATGTTGATACATTTCATATAAATGTTTGGGTAATATTCTAAACAACGCCTGAGTGTAAGTATTCAAACATTCCATTTTATATTGGTCCCTTGATATGTTGTCATAATGGCTTACCAACTCGTTAAAATTTCGATTTTCAGGAAATTTGACATTTTTATTGCAATAAAGTAGTTTGGACTGCCCGCAAACTTGATTTTTCTATAAATAATATATTTAACTTATAATAATTAAAGAAAAGTGCATAAAGGGTGGATAAATATTACACGTCTAGTTCAGCGGGGTTTTGAGGGGGATCGATATTAAAAGGGTATCGGGAAATTTTTAAGCATATAATAAAACTTTAATAAAAAAATAAGCAAATTGCATTAATATAAAAAAATGAAACCATAATGTGATTGTTCATAGATAGATATATTAATATGATTATATATGTAAAAAAAATGTTACTCTTAAATCTTTATAAGTGGAGGCGATAAGAAATAAGAATTTCAATTGAATGATTATATTTTATTACAAGCAACTAAATGAGGTTTATAAAGTTGTTAGGAACAAAAAATGCTGAAATAATAAAATCACGTTAAAAAACAAGTGTATAAAATCCGACTAATAATGAATAAATACAGCATTATAAAGAATTGCTTGATGATATTATTATATTCTCAAATTATAATAACTCAAAAATGTCTTTTTGTTCCACTTGCCCAAGGTATAATCCTATGATCCGGTAGCAGGCGAGAATAGTGAAGCCAGTGAGTTCAAACCATCAACTACCCAGGCCTCAGCTACCAATAATCAAACAGAAGTTAGCCTAGATATATAACAACAATTACAAGTTCAAATAGCCAAGTTGAAGCCAAAATGGATACCTTAACCATGCCAGCACTTGAAGTTCAAAACCCATTTTCCCTAATCCAAAAACTCTGGGCAGTCGTGGAGGCTCGCAATCAACCATTGCGACTCTACCCAACCCTTGATGCACAATATATACTCACCTGATTCCAAGATAACTACGTCAATCCAGGCACTGTACATATCAAAGAGGTAAACCCTAACATCACAACCCATGTTTACTCAAGACATACCAGGCACTAGTGTTGTTAAACGGTCCGAATTCAAATTTTAAAAAACGGTCCAATTAAGATTTTAGCCAAAATAATATTATGTAAACCTCGAGATTTAGCTAGAGATTTACCTTTTTACCATCTATGAGCAAAATCTTCAGGCTTACATAACATTATTTTGGCTAAAATTAATAAGCTGTTTTAAAAAATCGACCCAAAACTGGCCGTTTAACAACAAAACCCCTTTAATATTCAATTGAGAATCAACAAGATACCCCTGGAATTCGCCCATGTGAGGCTATTTTTTATTACAGGATGAACCTATCGTGATTGACTTGAATATCGAAATAGATAAAGCGAAACTAATTAAATTAGCGAAACATTATGTGAACGCAGTTATTCGCGCAGAAAACGCAGGAATATGTAGGGCCAACGTCAGGGATAAAATCATTAGAACAGATATTCGAGGATTGTTTAAGGATAGATGCTAGATTGAAGCTCACAATTCGCTAATAGGAGAAACGAATAACCGCAATTCCCCAAAAGGGTAGCAAAGGCGTGTTTCTGCGTGAAATTTGATCATCGAGCAATTGAAAATAACAGGAGAATTATTATAAGACCAGATTCATAAGATAAGCATCCATATTTTAGCCCTTTATTGATCAATTGTTGAAGACGGAAATCATAAAAAGAGCAACCAGTAATGTGCTCGCCGATATTCTTCATACCTAAGGCCAATGGCAAACCAAAAATAATCTCTAAATTTTACTAAATATCCTTTTAAGCTAAACCCGATACCTATTATCTCATATTCCTTTGCAACAACTCAATATAGCACTAAGTTCGACTTCAAACAAGCATTCTTCTCAATTCCATTATCATCTAGATAAAAATTCCTCGGGATTCATGGTGGTCATTATCAAATACTTCTACACGTTGCTACTCATGGGGTTTTTGTTATAAACATTACAAACATCATTCACGATTTATGTGCCCTGTGATAGTTAAGGCTAGTGCAGTTTCGTTCCATATCATAAGGAAAGGGTTCAGAAGCCTATCGTGTGAAATAATAGTAACAGCTATGAGGATCATAGGGTTTCACAACTTTGCAACCCAGCATATAACCTAACTGACGAAAACTCCGTTGACCTCCCAAGCAGAGAATAGATAAGGATAAACCAATGGAAGATAAGTGGTTATTCACCACAAAACCCACCGCCGGATAAATACCAGTTAACTTTTTCCCCATAATGGGGGCTTACAATCTGCTTCATGCGATTACAAATAGTCTAGATGAAACACTCTAGGAACTCTACTCCTTACACTTCACAGAGTTTGACCCAAAATTCTTATAGGAATCATTGGTAAATTTGACACTTCAAATTTAATCTCAGAAACTTTATCTCTGAACTAATGACCCCCCCCCCTCCAGAAGATAACTTGTCCCATGCATATATAATATACATTTATAAAATTATCGTTAATTGTTTAATCTGTTAATATAAGATTAGGGATGCATAATAAATTATTGTTACTCACATTTTACTATAAATATATACTTAAATACTTTAAATAAATAAATTACATATGCTCATTAATAAATTATAATGATAAAACTGTGAACTGGTCTTGGTCAGGGTCAAGAAATATAGTTGTCTCAGAACCATCTGAGTCTCCCATCATTATAATATAAAAACGATTGGTTTGGGAAGCAATAACAGTCCCTTCCCCTGATGCCTAAAATTTATGAGGCTCGCCTTGGTATTAAATAAATGTTGGCTATAAAGATAAGTTACAATAAAGATATTGGAAGCCATAACAAAAATATCTATGGGTTTGGGGGGGGGGGAGCTTATTGAACTTCTTAGACCCTGTATCATAGTAGAATTGCTTATAAAACGTAAATTTTTTGATATAAGCAATCCCCAGTCAGGTGTCAAAATTTTTTTAGATATAGGACTGGCCTGATTAGGCCTGAATTTTTTAAAAAACTTAAAGGGAAGAAATTTCTAACTCTAGATATTTACTTTATTCTATTTTAATGTTATACATTAGATTTACATATTTAGCAATAACTTTGACAATTTAATAATGATTATCTATTTTATTTTGTTTATTAAAAAAATATAAAAATAAATATTTCCCAATTACTAATTTTTTTTAAACTTTTCTATTTTTAAGATTAATTTTATAATTGTGATCATTCATGCCAAAAATGGAGAATAGGAAGGAATCAGGCGCGTATGCAGGAATTTGGTGTGGGGGGGGGATAATAAAATTTTTTAAGAAATATTATTGTTATTTAAAAATATTAAGCATAAATTTATTAGGACTAATAACTTTTCTAATACACAATTTTAAATTAATATGAATTATAAAAAAATTATATATATAAACCGGCATTGAAAAACTATAAAATAAATGTGAATTATAAAATATAAAGTGAATATAAACACGATATGAATCACTTAAATGACCCAAAATTGAAATTTGAATTTTTTGAGCCTTTAAAATTTATATATAAAGTATAAAAAATTAAATGTTGGAAATATAAATTAATACATAAAGTTTCTTAGGAATAATTGTATTTTGTATGTTTTGAGCTAATTTTCCAATTATCTATCCTTGCTTGGTGTTAAATGTCTGTGAATATTCAAAAGATCCAAATCATTCAATCCACTTTCAGAAGTTGTATTTCATAGGTATGTTTTTCAGAGAGTTGCAGGCCCGGCCCCCGGGCCAGACCGTGTTATAATTTTTTTAAACATACCCGGGTCAAGCCCAAAATTTTTCTTAAAAAAAACACCCAGGCTGGGCCTAAAAATTTTTTTTAAAAAAATATCAAGGCCGAGAGCTGTATATTTAAAACTAAATATTTGAAATCGCCATTATTAGCTATAAAAATCAATAATAAATATAATTTTTTTTAAAAAAATCCGGGCCGTGCCTTGAAAATGGTACCTCTGCAGGGCTCTGTTATTCTTCTAAAAAAGAGAATGTTCTCTCATTAGTTTACTAATGGGAAGAGTTGCTAATATATATATAACCATTTTAATACATTGGGAATTGTCTTAGTATGTTAAAAAAATGTATATATATAAGCCTCAAATGTCAATCAGATGGATTGTAGACATCTGATTGGAGGAAAAAAATTATTATTATTTAATGTAAAAAAATAATAATAATTATTATAATAATATATTTTTTTGAAAATATATATTTTTTGTAAAATTAATTGATTGAAAAATTTTTGTTAAATTTATAAAAAAAGAAGAAATAATAATTATATAATTTTAGTTTTTATTTTGTAAAGATTAATACATTAAAAAAAAATTATAAGAAATAAAGAAATTTTGAATAATTTAAATAGTATTTTGTTATACTTATTCTATTGTTTAATACAATTCAATATCAACTATGGGTATCCAGAATACACTTAAAAAGTGTTGACCGTTCTCCCAGGATTCGAACCTGGAAATTCAAGGGTATTCATTATTTTAAGGTAAAAAAATAAAACTTTTTTTTATTTTACATATTATAGGTTACCTTAGGACACAACGCAATAATAACGTTTTTGTGGTTTAAATTTTTTTTTGTGAATTTTAATTAACAAAGTAGTTTGGAAAAATATTTTTTCTTTTTGTAATAACGTAATTTTAAAGTAGAAATTTGTAATATGCGATATAAAAGAATCTATTAAAGATATTTATAGTGATGTATCCAGGTTGATTAGTATGAATAATCAAGGGGATAAGAAACAATTCGGTGATAGAATTATTTCGAATGGAAAGAGTTTTCCAAAAATTATTGCTGACATAATTTGTAATCGGTGCGGTTACAAGGGTCATTATGCCAAAACCTGTATTGTAAAGGAACAGAATTTTAGAATGGGTTTTCCATTGCAAAAATCTAGTGGAGAAAATTCCAATGTAAGGAAGATTTCAGGCCTAGATGTAAATAAAGTTGATTCGTTGAAATCGGATTTGGATGGGTCTCGTTTATGTTTTAAATGTAAAGAGACGGGACATATAGCTATAAATTGTGCTTTACACTGACTATATGATAGCAAATGTAATCATATAGCAGTTGGAATACAGGGAAATAAAAATTTTAAGAAAGTATATTATAATAAAAAGA